ATATATATATATTACTAATCTAAAAAAATTGCAATACCGTTCAAAAGTTTTGGGGTATTTTATTCAGCAAGAGAAAAAAATAAAATTTTATCCAGCAAAGATGCATTAAATTGATCAAAGGTGAACACAAACCATTTCTATTTCAAATAAATGTTGTTCTTTTAAACTTTCTATTCATCAAAGAATCCTGAAAAACTGTATTCTGGTTTCCAACATTGATAATATTAATAATAATAAATGTTTCTTGAGCAGCAAATCAGCATATTAGAATGAATTGAAAAATTATATGACACTGAAGACTGGAGTAATGATGCTGAAAATACAGCTTTGCATTACAGGTATAAATAATATTTTGAAATAAAACAGAAATATGTTTATTATTGTAATAATATTTCATAATATTACTATTTTCAGTGTATTTTTCATTGAATAAATTAGGCCTTTGTTAGCATAATAAAAAAACATTAAAAAATCTAACGGACCACAAAATGTTTTATTTTTATTCATGTATATATATGTATATATATAAAAAGTCTAGAAAGATTTACTTTTCTGTTTTGGGTTTTTGTGTCACACGAGATTTTCAGCATCTCACACCATAAATGTGTTTTGATTTTCTGTTCATCATCATCAAATGAACGAATAAATACAGAGGCTTTTAACAGTTTGCAACTGAAACTCAGCAGTACTGCCCTTATTTGCACTATTGGTTGCTATGGTCACAGAAAGAGGAGGAAGGGAACAGGATGATGACTGTTTATAAGTTAGAGATAGGGACACAGGTAGTAGCTAGTCTTGGCTGCACTATTGTGTTTGAATAGCAGTGAAGTACTTTTGCAAGATTTTTTTTCTTCTTTTTTTAAGTAATTCATGTGGAAAAGCCGACATGGCCTTAGAAGCATTATGGACTCAGACTTTTACACCTGCCCTTTAGAAATCATCACGTCTTGTTTTCCCATGGTGGTCCTTTTCTCCTGTTCCCAACCTGTGGCCAACAGGACCGAGTCTCTTGCCAATGAGAAAAACAGTTTAGCTTTCACAAGTTTTACCTCCAGACGAGTTTTTAAGTGTACACGTGAGGATATATACTGGTAGCTAAATACCGGTTAGACCACAACATAAAGTGCTGTGTGTACATACAGAGCTGTAAAAACATGCTGGTTCACTATAGGTGTATGACTACAAGGTGAAAAGGGTAAATGAGTGTCTCCACACTCTAGTGAGAGCCATAGAAGAGCAGTTCGGGGCTGCCTGTCCCCAGGCCACTCTGTGACTGTTACGTAAGCAGACAGAGAAATGCTCACTCAATAGTCATTATATCTGCTCAGATGTGCTCAGCATTGTCTGGGAAAACTCCAGGTCCACTACCAAATACATGCTGACATGCACACGAAAGCCAGAGGCCGTGTGTCAGAAAGTGAGCTGCGAAACGTTCCTAAGGCTGTTGTTCTCAAATAATGTATTTATTTATTCATTTATTTGTTTAATAGCTGTGTGATTTATAGGGATTTTAACACACTCAAAAAGCATGTTTGTTGTTTTTTTACAAATGTTAAATAAAATTTGTTTACATTTTGGCTGACAATTGTCATGCAAATAATTGCAACAAATAATTGAATTCAGTTGTTGTTAAGGAATGTATTCACTTCAAATATAGTAGTAGTAGTAAGTTTAGATGGAAGTATGTGTGAATGGAATGTGTACCATGATTGGGAATATCCCAAATTAACATAGTAAGGACAAATAATTTTGACTAGCATGCATGCTCATCACATATAAAAAGAGCTGTTGCTCAAGGGAGCAAAGGTTCAACTTTGGCTTTCTTCTTCAGCTTTTCTCTCTTTGCTGTGTTTTTAAATCAAAAAGTCCAGAAAGCCAGTTAAATTAAATAAAACAATAATGTAGCCTGTGTGTCATCATAGGCGAATACAAAAGTGAGGCTAGTATTCCCATTGTGTTCAGGGAGAGTGTTATGTCATTATGTTTTAATGAGTGGACTGCAGAGCAGCTCTCTGCATGTGCCCGCGCTGTGACCTCACCCTGAACTCAAACCTCACACTGTGCATCCACTGCACCCTTGACACGTCACATCACATGCCATAAATCTGCACACCTCACAGTCTCGAGGCTGAATTATGCCATCCTTTGGTCACAGCACATGCAGTGTCACCGCCCAATGAGCCAAGGTGCTGAGCTGTAGATGTGGAACCTATTGTTATGGAAAGAAATGTCTGATGACATATAATGCTGCTCCTTTTTTTTTTTTTTTTTGGTACAATGTGAACCTCCAATGGCACGTGGTAACGGGGATAAAATCCCTGGGTTTAGGTCCAGTGCAGCATAGTTTTATTCAGTCTGTAAGATGCAATGAACTGGAAATAATGGTGTTTCTTCAAATCTAATAGTCATGCAATGGCTGCACTGTTTATGCATGGTTTCAGTTTTCTTCTCTGTGTGACGGTATAAAGCGGGTGGCCAACGGCAGTCCTGGAGAGCCACAGTCCATCGGGCTTCAGCACCAACCCTAATCAAACACACCTGAACAAGCTAATCAAGGTCTAAGGGTTACTAGAAAGGTACAGGCAGATGCCTTTTTTAATCAACGCTGGAGCACAACTCTACAGGACTGTGGCTCTCCAGGACCTATGTTGGCCACCTCGGTATAAAAACATAAAGGTTTTTGCAAAGCCATTGATCAATAAATGCCTATAAAGGATATAAAATGTTAATATTTAGCATTACAGGTGCAATGTGTCATTACAGGAGTCCGTACATATCAACGGCTTATAAAGAGCTGTTACTCCGTATAAGGAATGACCACCATACTGAGATCACGATTAGTTGTGAGTTTGAGAAATTTGAGAAAGTTAGCACAAACCTGCGAATGTACCTTACATTTTGCAGTATTCCAGAGTATATAAATTTGTTGCAAATTGCAACTCAGTCTGCTTGTAATAACTGCTGTGGTAGCTCCAGAGCTGGTGGGGGCAGTAGAGAGCCTAATGCTATCGGATCAGTTGCTTAGAAAGACAAGCCATGTAATTATTTAATGCTCCTTTAAAATACAATTTTAATGAACAGTCCATCACAGGAGAGTATTGTTTGTGAACTATTCATCATCTTGGTGTCACCAAAGGTGTGCAGTCCTGCTCTTGGAGATCCACCTTCCAACAGAGTTTAGCTCTATGCCTAATTAAAAACAGCTGAACCAGATAATCAAGATCTTCAGGATCACTAGAAGCTCCCAGGCAATTGAGTTGTTGCTAAACTCTGCAGGAAAGTGGAGCAGGATCTGGAGCAGGATTGGACACCCCTGAACTTGTCGGTTAATAAATGCCTTTTTTAAATTCAAAACCAAACCAATCCATTAATACATTGCTCATATTCTTTTTTTTACAGCTGATTCCGAAAGAAGGATCGGACACCTTTGGAAATCTAGAAATGTGGAGCTGCATGGTTTACAATGAGACGGACGACAGTGTGGACCTCCGGCTCTGCCAGGATTTTGGACTCATTCTGTCCGTCTTCTCTCTGGTGTACCTCATCGTCTGCTTTCCAGTGGGGCTTTGCTACAATGCCCTGCTGGTGGTGGTCAACCTTTCCAACAAGGTCACCATGACAATGCCTGACGTCTACTTTGTGAACATAGCCATTGCTGGCCTGGTGCTCAACTTGGTGGCTCCAGTAGAGCTGCTGGGGCCCAGTTTTACACGCTGGCCCATGTGGGAGTACAACAACGAGCTCTACATTACCCTTCTCATTCTCTTCAACATCTCCTCTCTGGTCATCATGTACTCCACGACCTTGCTCAGTCTGGACTATTACATTGAGCGGGCTCTCCCGCGCACCTACATGTCCAGCGTCTACAACACCAAGCACGTCTGCGGCTTCATCTGGGGTGGTGCCGTTCTCACCAGCTTCTCTTCTCTGCTCTTCTACGTATGCAACCACGTCTCCACTAAGATCATCGAGTGTTCCAAGATGCAGAACAAAGAGGCGGCTGATGCCATCATGATGTTCATTGGGTACGTGGTGCCAGCGGTGGCTGTGCTTTACGCCTTCGTGCTGATCCTCCGCATCAGGAAGGAGTCCACCCCTTTGGACCAGGACTCTGGGAGGCTCGATCCATCCATCCACAGGTTGCTGCTGGCCTCTGTGTGCATGCAGTTTCTTCTATGGACTCCATACTACATGACCTTACTTGTGCACACGGTAGCTGGAGCTCCTGGAACCCATTCCAACAAGCAGCACCTCACCACATACTTCTTCCTGAGATGTTTATCCGAGCTGCTCGCCTTCTGCAGTAGCTTCGCCATTCCCCTCATGTACAGGCAAATGAACAAGAACTTTTCCCATAAACTCCAGCGGCTTCTAAAGAGGCTGCACTGCGGGGACCAATCGTGTCCTCACGAACGCTCAACAGTACAGCAGGTGGTCACATGAGGGCTTGTGTCCAGTCAGACCTGCTTCTCCCTCACTGGCACTTACTCCGAATTCACAGAAGTAGAGCCAGCACATGAACCTGGATATATATTGCGTGCTGAAAGGAAGTATTTTGCTCACCACAAGGAGTGGTATGTGTCTCTGTGAAAGTGTGGAACCTCCGTAACACTTAACGACTTAACTTTATTTGTCCATTTCTATGGTGAATGGGCGACCAAGAAGAAACCACTAAGTGCTGTTTTTGTGTAAGCTATGTCTATTCTTTGGGTTCTTGGGCCTGGGGAAAATCTCAACCCATCTGATGGTCCTTTCGGTGGAGGGGGGAAATGTTGAACGTTTGTAATCTGTTACAGGATATGTGGCATAGCCTTCTAATGTGATGCTTTTAGACCAACCTATTCCCTTTTAGCTCAAGGCTACATTTCACACCAGGCTCTCTGTGTTGTGATCCACAACAGCATAAGCTCTTCAGTCTGGATTGAGTTTTCTGGTCACACTTTCCATAAAAACCTCTCTGGTAGATGCTAGTAAACGCAATATAATTACCTCAATTTCACACACCAATGGGCATTACATTGGAACGGTCTAACCAACTTTTACAACACTCAGAAATAACTCAATGAGACTGATATCAGGGAGCGGGAAAGATTGTGTGTGTGGTTGCGTGCTGGTGGTTGTGAGTGTGTGTTCTCGAGTGCTTGCTGCTAAGGTGATGTGCATCATAACTGCACAGTTGCTCAGCCATGTTAAATCCAATCAAAAGTGTATAGCTTATTAAGACGAAGCTATAGAATGATCTACTAGACAATGGATCACAGTTTTAAGGTCAACTAGTTAGAGATTTAATCTTTATTCAATACCTTTTAAATCATTAGTCTGTTACTACTGTAATTATTATCCATGCACCATGAGGACGTGGTTAACAATTCATGCTTTGAGATGTGAATCCAAGTCGCACAAGTCCTTTTGATACAATCAAACATTTGGTTTCACTTAAGAGATCTATGCAGTAGATTATTTGGTAAAACTGCTCAAATTTGTACTGGAGCAAACAGTTGATTTCTGAAAGTATTGATCGGACTTCAGTGCTTCTAAGCGATGAATCACATCGGGATAACATTTCCTTTCTAATGTGCAAAGAGATAGCTTTTATTGAGATTAGTTGCATGATTGTATTGTATGCATATATAGAGAGATATGCATCAATGCTCTCAGTCTGAGAGAAAATTGTAGACATTTCCAGAAAATAATACTCAGAGGCAGGATGAGAAATAGTACAGTTTAAGCCACTAAATGGTTTGTTATTATCGAAAATGTCTTTGCTCTTGTTTTTCTCGTGTCAGTGGATGCAAAATCAGTATGTTTTGGAGAGAAAGCACTGTATGTGAATGGAAGAGTGAATAAGTATCATTTGAATCCACTTATGCAAGGGAAAGAATGTATTTAAAGTCATGAAGGGGAATAAAAATCAGTTAACCCTCAATCATAAACAATGAAACATCAAATCACAATGTTATGGCTGTTGTTAGTGTGCTAATGCCAGTATGTGTCATATTGAGAATGTGTATATATTGTACTTCAGAGATTTACTGGAAAAAACAGACATGCCATTTTAGATTACAGTATTATTGTCTCAGAGATTTATTTAGATACTAAAGTGTCAGTCATCCTCTGTCCCACACCGAGTCAAAGACTCGTTCAATAAACTAACATGAATATAATCCTGCTTGGCTCTTCTTTGATTCCACACATCTAAGAACATCACAGCTTTCCAAATGACAAATGATGAAGCTTGTTTTGGTTTGCATCAACAAAATGGGTATGGATGACTACTCACTCATTCATACCAAAGAAAATAAAATAAATATAGTTTATGCCACAGATGCCAAAACATATTTTTCTTGCATGGTGCGAGCCTCAGAATAGTGCCAGGCCCCAGGAGCACAAACCACACTGAAATGTTCTTTGGCAGAAACAGTTTGTTTAGTTGCCCATCTGCAGAGCAGCAACAACCACAGACATTAGTACTTTGAAAGACATATTCTGCTTGTTCTTCAACTGACAATTTCTGAAAAACACATTTTGTAGCATAACGAACTCTTTCAATAAGAGGGTGAGTTTGGCTAATTTCAAGTAACTTGTTAAAGATAGTGGAAACTGCATTGCAAAAATAATGATTGCTACCTTACAGGTTTCTCAAACAATCTCCAAAAAAAAAACATACACCATTTGTTGAGTCAATGTTTCTGCTGTTGGGCTGGTCAGGATCCTTAAACAAAAAGTGCAGTTTTTATTTTTTTTTTAAACGCCACACTTTTTTTTTTTTTTTACATCTACATAGAAGAAAGCATTTTAATATCAAAAAAGTACTTTATTTTATTGCTGTTATGTGCAAAGGTCAAACATTTTTTGTTAGCAGTTTAAACAGGAATACACACTTCCAAACCACCTAAATGTTTGTAGAGTAAATTGTAAAGAGACTCTATCCAGTGTTGACTATTTCAAATAACTTTTAGAGAATGAGCTTAGCTTAGCTGACATGAGACGCTGCAGTGTTGACGCTCGCAGAATAAGAACTCACCTGGGTTTTGTTATATACTGGCTCGCAGTGGGGGCACCTCCAGTCAACAGTCAGTGGTATGTGTGTGTGTGTGTGTGTGTGTGTGTGTGTGTACGTCTGGAATCAAGCGAGCTCGGTCAGAGTGGGAGTAGACCGAGGGGCCCCGTTCAGGCCGCAGCACTGTGTGCAGTCTCTACGAAGTGCCTGTGGCGTCCCCAAACCAAGCCACAAAACCTCTGTAAAAGAAGAACATTCTAGACATTCTGAGAATTGTTTTGGCTTCTGAACACCCCCAGCACAACATATCCGCCTGTCACAACACAAGAACAACATTGTCCGATATGGAACAATGGATCCAGGGTGAGTATCGAAATGTTAGACAAGGAACCAACCAGGAAACATGAACAATTCCATGTTGTTTGGCAAAACATTCCAGAACTTTATCGTAAGTCTTTTTCTTCAACTATTTTGTTTTAGTTATATGAAGGTCACATAATTGGAAGGCTCATCGTACTTGAAAATGTTTTACCATACCTTCATTATTTTATTTTATTATCCATGTCCCATTTATTTATTTATTTATTTATTATAAACTTCAGATTTCACATATATATATCATACACAGTTTCATAAAATAAAATAGAATATATAAATAGAATAAGTACTTTCACTAGTGAAATCAATGTTGAATGAGAATTACATTTAAAAACTATGGCAATCTAAACAAAGAGTGAAATAATAATTTAAATATTTATTGTGTGAATTGCATCATTTCCAATCAAGCTAGTTTTGTCAAGTAATGCAAAAATAATATTGAATGACATTTAATTGTGTATTTTGGATACATGAAATGCTATGTATACAATTTGATTTATTGCAAAATTTAGCAAATTTGATTTATTGTTATAAATCAAATAACAATTTGATTTAGCAACAAAAAATGTTGTTGTTTTTATTTTGTTGATAAACAACAACAACAACAACAACAAAAAAAAAGGTTTCAAATATCATTTCCACTACCATCCTTTCCAACAGTACTGACACAATATATCATTTAAAAAGACTAAGTAGACTAGTGAATTATCATTTTTGTTTAAAATGTCCACTGCTGGATATATTAAATAATATGTCTGAAAGTCATTAAGTTTAAAGTGTATTTTCTAAGAGTCCACAGGGTCAGAATTTCCATAGTTAAAGAAACCCCAATAACTGCTACTGATAGTGTCTGGTGACAAGCTTTACAGGCATATATTTTGTGTTTGTAGTCATTTTATTTTCAATAAATCTGTCAGTCAAACTGTTTTTGACTGGCCACATTTGTAATTACTTCAGAGGGGATGAAATTTGAGCTTAACCAAATGGAGGCACCATTGCATTAAGGACAACCCTTTAATCTACTTTGAAGAGGACCCTTCATAATCATATCACATGCCTTCGCTTCACATCTGCATGTTCAAACTCTTATTTTTGCCAAAGCATGCAGAAATTGTTTTGTACACGCAACTTAAACAAAACAGATTTGCTGGGTCTGCTAAATCCAGAACTGTCAAAGCACAGATCTGCTCAGCTGTTCTTCGTTTTTACATCTGTGTAGAATAAACTACATATGGGCTGAATAAAATAATGGATGCCATGGATGCCTTTCTCCATTAATAATTCAAGAAGGGCAAATCAGAACCGTTTACCTTACAAGCACGAGCCATAATCAATATGCTTTCTCTTTTTGCAGCAATGATGCCTACTTGGATATTTACCTCACCTCACACATCTCTCTGAAATACTTGATTCTGATTGGTCGATCAGTGGTCAGCTATTTCCTAATATTCACATCCAAAGCAATCATACTTTCACTAAATTCACATCTCTCGTATCTCACCACTAACTCGCACTTTCATGTTTCATACAAATGCAATCTTGTGTCTCAGTTATTGATTTCAGTGCTTATATTGCTGTAGCTAATATTGTTTCAGCATTTGTTTTGTGTCTAGACATTTTGTTTTGTAAATTGTAATTGACCATTGTAATTGTATTTTTTTCTTAGCTGAGGTTTTAATATATTTTACAGGTAAGAGTATAAAATCGTGTTAAATTAAATATATAATTTCCACATATTTTTATGAGTAGCCATGCTATAAAGACAATTGCAGTTTCTTTCTCAACTTTAATTCCTGGCTAACTGTACATTATTCAATATATATTGTATGCTTTATCTAATGAAGTTAAAAACGTTCTAATTACTCAACAGGACGTGCTGTCTAGAAACAGGTGGATGAGGCGACCTCCCCCACTAACTTACTAAAGCTTTACCCAGAAATCCACACCTGCATTAACGTTCAACATCCTGTTGGTATGTCACACCCAAAGAGACGGAAAGTGACCACAACAGCTTCATTTTTTCAGTGATGCTGAAACACCCCGTGTTTATTCTCTTAATGAAACCTCTCATCATTCCAGTTAGCTCGAAATCCATCGGCAAACAGGCAAGAGGTTTGCAAAACAGATTTTAAATCCCACGTATTGGATAACACATCCCGAATAATGTTCTAACTCCGGACATGAGTTAAATTTACCCTTAAGAAGCCGGGGTCTCTAATGTTCTCTGGTCTTGTTTCAAAGTAAACTTGGGCTGAGCTTAAAAAGTAATTGTTTTCCAGACCCCAGCTTAAATCGGCCACACTAGACCACCAGGGTTGCACATTTGGTTTGTCTCTTAAAGTTTTTGTTGTTTGACTTGGCTTTCACCCAGATCTCTCACAAAAATTAGGACAACAATTCCTTTTAGAAGTTCAGGGTCACACCAGGCAATCCGACTCATTAAGTTGATCCACATTAGAGTAAAATAACATATTTATAGATTAGTTACTTTTTTATGGAGTAACGCAATATTGTAATGCATTACTTTTAAAAGTAACTTTCCCCAACACTGTTTACATATATAAAAATACAATCACAGCCTGACTAAAAGTAAACATTTATGGATTGATCTGATTTAAAACTGTCAAAAGGCTGAAGTCTGACCCCTTTTCTAACTGTATGACATTATAAAAATGGGTCAGGAGCTTTGTATTTACATGTCTGGTTTACCCAACCCACCTCTATTCTAACCCCGATAAGCGCGGGGAAATGGGATGGGGCAATTCAGTCATGGGACCCAGATTTACCACTCTTTAGATAATGTTATCATTTTTCCACCAGAAATATCTATGACTGGCACATCGAATGCCTCAGGCGATTACATGCTCCCTTCCTCCTTTTGCACCACCGGAATGATCTGGCATGAACTGAATGCTTTGATAAATCAGACCCGATGTGGAAAGACAGTCCAGCCTTGCTGCCTTGTTGGAGAGGCCCAGACTACAGCAGATGGCTGAAACCCAATCCTCTACGCTCCTGCCAGACCGGCTCGGTATTTTTCCTCTTTGCAAATGTACCAGAGATTTGGAAATACAGCAACAATGAAATCCTGGTGTCAGCAGAACATTTGAGAATTGGACCATGGGAACCACACAGGGGAGAGTGCCCAGGTTGGCCGTGTTTGACACTGCGGTTGTGTGGGTTGGAAGGCAGGGAGAGCGTGTCTTTTTAAGTGAGAATGTCCCTTGTGTCTTTCTACTCACTGAGACAAGTGTGTCTCCACCAGACCACAGGCATGGAGCTCTACAAGACAACATCCTGACACGCTTTCTTTCTGTTAAGCGTTGTTTCCAAAAACACTTTGACATATTGAAGATACTTAATGTTTGCTCTCATAGCTCAATTTATGGGTCAATATATAGTGACCTAAATGTTTCATAATAATTTTCCAGTCATCCAACCTTGAAACTAGCCACACGTATCTCTAGTAATGCTCTCATATTAAGTGAACTACTTTCTCCTTTATGAGCATCAATGAAACATCCAGTGTAGTCCAATTCAAAATCTAATTTAAACCGTAATGAATAAATAAATAAATATAAATACATATAAATAACATTTTGTACAGATGGCCATATGCTCTTCTTCCACTGCAACTCAAGATGCTGTTTGGATCATCACAAAT